CTGTTTCTAAGTTCTCTATCTATATTCCTTTAGATTCTCATCAGTCTGTGAAGTAGGTACTATTTATGCTCCTTTTTGTACTTGGGGAAATGGAAATAGAGCTTCAGTAGTGTGCCCTAGGTCAGATTCGAGTTCTCACTTCTCAAGGTACTTGGGGAACCAGTGTTGGGACTGCTGTGTCTCAGCCGTGGGAGTTCTGTGGTCATAGCAGGGCCCTCACTTCCCCATTTCTTCTCCCCAAGTGGTGGCCAAGCAGCTGTGAGTTGGTGAGGGTTCCACACACCAAGGGAGCTAACCCCTGGCCTCCTGAGCCCCCAATCCCTACGAGGGTAGGTCACAGTGACAGGAAAAGGGAAGAACAGAAGGAAAGGAGGGGGTGAAGGAAATTTGGGGGACTGAGGTCCTTAGTGGACCCTGCTTTGTGCCTGCCAAGATCTTTTTCTCCTTCCTCTGTAACAGCACCCCGATTTTCCTTTTGGAACCCATCCTTTCCCTTCACTCCATGGGGTGCTGATGGGGCTTCATGGGTGAATGTGTGTCTCAGGCTTGGCCAATTGGAGAAGGCTTTACCCCCAAGTCAAGCAAATCAGAGTAAGTCCTTGGGATTTAGCTGGAACTCTTAGGATAGAGATGTGCTTTTTCCACTGGGGTTGCACTACGCGGTAGACTATGTTTTGGATCTTGGCATCACATGGGAAGAGCCTATATGAGAATGAAGCCAACCAGACTGGGGAAGAGTCCAGAGATGGTGTGCTGGGTAATTTTATGCATCAACTTGGCTAGGCCACGCTACCCAGATATTTGGTCAAACATGTGAAGGTATTTTTTAGATGAAATTAACATTTAAATTAGTAGACTTTGAGTAAAAATTATCCTCTATAATGTGGGTGGGTTTCACCCAATCAGTTGAAGAACTTAATGGAAAAAAAGACTGATGCCCTAGAGGAAGAGGGAATTCTGCCCCCAAACTGCCTTCAGACTTGAGCTGCAACATTAGCTCTTCCCTGGGTCTCCAACCTGCTCGCCTGCCCTGCAGATTTTGGACTTGCCAAGCTTTGCAATCATTTGAGCCAATTCCTTAAAATTTCTCCTTTCTCCCCTCTTTCTCTTTCTCTTTCACCCCCACCCCACCCTCTGACAGCTACAGATGCCCAGAACAAATTCCCGATGTCTTGTTTTACTACTTGGATCTAGTCAGACCTGACATCAGCTACCCCTGGATTTTTTACTTAAGTGGTCTGGAATTGGGTGACCTATCTCTGTCACAAAGGGTCCATCTCAGGTGGGAGCAGCTCACACGACTGAGCTCTCATTCCATGCCAAGCCCAGAGTTTCCCTTCAAGCTGGGCCTTGAAGGACGCACAGAATTTCACGTGGGTGTGAGGAGCACAGGGTAGAGTGAACATGAATATGTGCAGACACAGACAAGTGAAGGGCACAGTAAGCCAGGGAAATCAGATTCAGTGGCTGAAGGGAAAGAAGTGATCGGCAAGAGACTGGCTGGAGAAGTGGTCAGGGGCCAGGTGATGGAGGCCTTCATATGCCATGAGAGGAGTTTGGACTTTGTCCTGAGGTCAGCATGGAAGGCGTTGGAGAGTTTTAAGGAGAGCCAGGGGTGGACTGCTTCACTCTGCAGAGGGAAGGACACAATGAAGCAGAGAGAAGATAGGTGCAGAGAGGAATTATTTTATGGCTGGAGTTTTTCCTGGTGCTTCTTAAATCATATTCCACCCATCATTTCTTTCTCACTTCTCAAAGCAGTAAGCATGGTGGTCAATATGGACTTTTGGAGCCACCCTGCCTGAGTCTACATCTGGCTCTTCCATTTACTATTTAAGTCAAGCACGTTACTTAAGTCTTGGTGCCTCAGCTTCCTTGATGAACATAAACAACATCATTGTCTCCTTCTTAGTAATGTCTGGTAATGATTACCTGTCACTACTGGTTTAGGGCTCAGCACAGTGCTTGACATAGAGTAAATACCTAGCAGTCAGTAGCAATCTTACTCCCACCAAGGTCAATGGGTGGGCTGCTGGGGTGCCACCTCCAGGCCCCAGGAGGACAGCTGTGTCAGGGCCTCTGCCCTCTCCCTGCACCAGCCCCCATCTGCCTTTCCCAGGGAGCTGTGCCTGCGCCCTCCGGTTCTCACAGAACATGGCCAGCCTGGGCCCAGGGACCTGGGAAGGGTCACTGCAAGGACAGGAAGAGAAAAGGGCTTTCAGCTCTGAGAACAGATTTTTATCCAAGTCTCAGGCTTGGGAATTAGGTTGGAGTCAGGTGAAAACCAACTTCCTAGCCCTGCTCAGGCCCAAAGGGGTGTCTCTAAGCACAGAGGCTGTACCCCAGCCCTTGCACTCCGACTTCCAGATGTAGAGGTGAGAGGTTCAAGGCCAGCTCAGTAAACCCGAGACTAGCTGTGGGAAGCAAGTTCAATGAGATAAATAAAATGCTAAAAGTTCAGAGTCAAAGGGCACCTCGAGTTCCCAACTTTTTCCAGTTTTGTTTCCACAGTGCAACAGAAATGGTAGCTCTACCACCAAGTTAGGGGAACACTGGACAAGAAAGCCCCTCCTTGGCCTCAGTTTTCATAAATACCCAAGGATGGGAGGTCGATTCAAAGGTGGCAAGTAGGGCTCATCTTGTGGGCCAGGTTTGATCAGTTGTTAGTGGCTCCCTGTTTAGCTGGTTAGAGAGAGCACTGGGATTACAGTACTGATATCTGCCATGTGTGTGGAAGCCGATGGGTGATGCATGGCTGTCCTTTGCCTGGATGGGTTTTTTCCTGAATACTCAGCCTTGGCACTGAAGTGAATTCCCAGGTCTGGCCTAGTGCCCCTAGTGGACTCTAGCCTCAGCAGGGCCCCTCATGGCTTCCCCCGGAAAGTTAGGAACTGCTTTAGGCCCAACCTCTATACACATTCTCTGGGCTTTCCACTTCTTACCTGGTTATTGCCAATGTCTGCTGGGGAGAGCTGTGTACTTTGGGTTCAACATGGGAGAACTTTCCAATACATGAAAATTGATTTCCTTGATGATGGTGAAGAGGAGTCAGGCCTTATAAAAAAGCAAGCTGAAGCCCACACACCCTGCCAGCCCTAGGCAACCTCGTGGCTCAGAACTTATGTCACTCACATCCCAGTCTCCCCTATTCCCTCTTCCCACCCTGCCCAGTGGCACACCTTCCCTGTTCCTCTCCTCTAACCAGGGGCTCAGGCCCTCTTTGTTGTCCCACTCATCAAGCGCTGAAAAGCACTGATAAACTCATTTGTTCTGAGGTGCCAAGAACTAAGAATAGCTGGAGATAACTTCCAATGCTGAGATTCCAGGCATCAACAAGCAGGAGGCCTCAGCAGCAGTATTTGTGAGTCACACAAGGAGGTAACCATCGCTGAACAGCAAGCAGAATGTTAGTTGTTCTTCAACTATGGGGAGAATTGTTCTACCAAAGGTCTGGAACCTGAGACATTCCACTAGGGCTGCCCTGCCCTGCAAAGGATGTGGTGAGGAGGGTATGGTCTCTGGGGTCAGAGTGCCTGGGCTTCAAGTGCCAGCTCCACTTTCTCACGTGACCTAGGGAAAGTCACTTAACCTCTTTGTACCTCACTCTTCTCTTAACAAAACGGGGTTGGTGATGATATTATTACCTACCTTGTAGAGTCGTTGAGGGAAGCAGATGAGCTTAGTGGTTAGGATAGTCCCTGTCATGCAGTCAATGCTAAGTGTTGGCTCTTTGGAGGGCCATGCACCGATCCCAGTCATTGCAGTTTGAGGTGGCAGACACCAGGGTCCAGCCCAGGCCTCGCACATAGTAGATGGCAGCAAAGATGAGCCACCTCCTTTTACCTTCATTTTGGAATTGTCTCCAGAGTCAAGTCAGGAGCTAGATAAGAAAAATACAGAGAACTCCTCAGCATGGCTCCTGTCTCTGGAGCCAACTATTAGAAGGTCATTGTGGCTTTGTCTCCACTGAGATCAGAAAGTCCAACAGATTCTCTCATTCTCTGAGCCTCCCATCGATCATGACTTGCTCCCCACAGTCTCTATTGCCTCAGCAGCTATGTTAGGTGGAACCTGGTCCCACCCCTAGACATAGCTGATTGGACCTTGGAATGATCCCTGGCCCTAGGGCTGCCCACTCGATGAGTTGGCCCAATCAGATTCTGCCTTGGGAATTTGGAGTTGGGAAATGGAAACTGAGCCAGGTGATGGTGATGCAGTTACAGCTGAAAAGTCACCTAGAGCTTGGCAGATGATCATGATGGCCATGTTCAAGCTGAGCCCTGGGGGTACAGAGGAAGCTGGTGGCAGAGACAGGAGGCCTGAACAGAGAGAACTGCTCCTTTGAGACACTGTAAATCAGAACCACTTTCCACTTCCAATTCTCAGGAGGCCTGAGGACACTATGTTTCCTTGGCTTGGATTTCCGTAAGATGCCTATACTGACACGACCCCACTCTCTTCCCTGGAGCTAGCTTGAGAGTGTTCCTGGGCCCTGTGACCAGGAGGGCCACCACTTATCCTCCGACAGCTCCTTGGCTCAAGCCCTGTCTCCTTCCATGAGGTTCTGCTGGATGTAATTTCATGGACGGGCTGGACCCCTGCACCTCCCTCACTCACACCCTGTCTTGGTGACCTCGGGGGAAGCAGCTGTGGCCATGCTGTCCCTGAGAGAAGCTGGGGAACCCCACACCTTGAGGCAACCATCTGGGGCTCCTGCTTAAAGCTATGCTTTCTGGAATTGAGTAAAGTCTCTACGACACTGGCTTCATTTCCTGCCATCTTTCTGCTGAGAAGACACTGAAGCCCAGCTCAGCCTGGCTCTGCTGCCTCAGCCTTGGCTCCAAGCCAGCCCCTGGCCTTGATTATTTCCTTCCTGTGAGACCCAAATTCCAGCACTGGGTTCTGTTTCTCACTCTTGATTAGGAGCCAAAACGTTATGTGTTGTTGTTTTTTTAATTTCACAGTCTTGAATTTGCTACCCAAATCCACACTCTCTCCTGTAAGCTGGAAAAGAAATCTGTTTATTTTATTGATGAGTTCAGAGTAAGGTTTGTGGCAGCAATCTTAGCAGCAATGACAGCAGGACCAAGGGGAGAAGGGTGTAGAGAGTGGGACCGAAGAGTCAGGTCCTATTGGATTTCAAGGGAGAAGTCTCCCAGGGCGGGGAGAGACCAAATTCACAGGGCCAGAGAGAAGACATGCGAGTCCGGTTTCCAGGGGCCCTTCCAGAACGATTGGCTGCTCTCCCTCTATACTGGCCTTCAGAGCAATGGCCGGAGGTGCTCCTATGCAGCTCTTCTACAGGGCCAATGGGTGTCTGAAGCCGCTGGGTGCTGACTGTGGGTTTCTAGGGTGCCTGCAGGCTGGCGTCTCTCAAGGCTGGTTCCCGGCTTTGTGTTCAGAAGGGTGGGTCCAGAGCTAACTGGCTTCGAGGGGTGAATTTGGTTTCTCCTTCCGGACTTCAGAAGAAGGTCCTGTGTGGAAGATAAAACAGACCAGGAGGGTGCAGGCCTTGTGGGTACACACTCAGCCCAGGGAAGGGCCTGACAACAGGCAGGACTCCCCAGGGGTGCACGGCCCTGCCAACCTCTGGCAGCCCCTCTTGGTGCAGGCCCCGAGCAGCTACACACCAGTCATAGCCACAGCACACAGGAGGAAGCAGAAGGGACACCTGGGATGAGGTAGGAGGGGACCAGAAGGCAGAGGGGCTGGGGTCCCTCACAAAGAGCAGAGGACAAGCAACAGAAAACATAGGGCCACTGAGGCCATCCCAGAAACCACAGCAGAGCCGGCCAATGGTCTTGGGAGCATGAGGCCCTTATGTTTTGAGGAACTTGTGACAGAAAAGACATAAGTCCAGGCTTGAGTCTGCCCTAAATGCTGCTAGCTGTGGGCTTTAGACCACACCAAACACCAGTTTCACAGCCACCTGCCAGCTCTGCCCATGGGCACAGCCCTGTCACAGGGTGGAAAACACATCCCACAGGTGGGCTCCACAGTGTCCCTCAGATAAGAATCCAGAGGAAGAGAAGCCACGGGAGAAAGAAGGCACAGAGAACAGTTTGGTCTGAGCCGGGCTCAGGCCACGACAGGTCACAACATGAACAACCCCAATAGGCCAACCCTGGTTCTTTGGACCAGCCTTCATTGCTTCTTAATCGCCCTGGCCCTGCCCAGGCATGGGGCGAGGTGGAGCAGGGCTCCCAGAAGGTGGCACCCCAGGGAAGGGGAACTCCAGGCTGCACTTGCTTTGGGCTCTCTAAGCCCGCGGTGCCCGGTTTGAAGCACTGTCTGTGCCCAGCAGAGGATGGTGCTCACCGCTCCATCCTGCTCACTGGGGTGCTGTGTGGGACCTGTGGCAGGTCCCAGGGCTGTGGTGAGTCAGGATGCCCAGGACCCAGCCTGCTACAAAGCAGGCTCTGCTCAGCTCCCCTGAATGAGGGAGCCTTCGAGTCCAACAGAAACCCAGTGTGGCCAAGAGCAGGCCTGAGTGGCACTTCAGGAATGGCGCCTCACGTGCCCCTCCAGACACCAGTCCAAAGAACCTGCCGACGGCATGGGCAGCAGACGGCCACGACACGCAGCACGGACAGACGGGGCCCTGCAGCCCGCCTGCCTATTCACCGTGGGGGGCTGCCAGGCTCCAGCTGCAGGAAGAACCCGTGTCTAACCACGGGAGCACGGTCTTCAAGGAGCTTTCGGACCGGCTGGGGGCTTTCGGCTGCAGAGGAGGGAAGAGAAGAGCTACATACGCAGAGCGGAGCAGGAAACACAAAACAGGGCTCAGTTATTCCCAGGCAGAGCTCCATCGGACCTCTCCCTTCACTTGGCTCCTGCCTAGGCCCCGGGTTCCAGAATTCCTTGCTATGAGACCTTGATTTCTCCAAGACATGCACAGGACTCAGCCTCTGCTGGGCAGGGGGAGCAGGCAGGTCCAGCCACGACAGGCAAGCAGAGGGGTAAGGAGGTGATGTGATAAGATGGGATGGAGGTCAGACACCAGAGAGGCAGAGAGACACAAAGACAGAGACAGAGAAAGACAGATAAAAATGGATGCAGAGACTCAGAGATAGAGAAGCAAAGGAGAAAGTAAGAAAGAAGAGGAAAGGCAATGAAGAGAAGAAAGATGAAGGGGAAAGAGTGGGGCAGATGGGAGTGGGAGATTGACAGGGAGGATGGGGAAGAGGGAGAGAGGGGAAGAGACAGAGAGAGCATGAAATAGAGATCCCACACAGGTACAGAGACAGGAATGAAACAGAAAGAAACAGACATATAGGAAATCACAGAGAAAGATGGAAACTGGACCAAGGCTCTTCGCAGATCCTGCAGGTAGGGCCAAAGTCTGTGGTCCTAGCAGCTTAAAGACTCAGCAAGAAGCAAAGCAGTTACCTATCAGGGAGACCATCCAGAGAGTAAAAGACAGAAATCTGTAAACTAGCTGATGAGGGTGCGGGGGCTGAGCCTCTGAGTGGGGAATCAGAAGTCCCGAGGCTTTGTACCAACTTCCCCGTTTACTTGGTCTGAGACCTGAACCTCAGTTTTCCAGACGTAAAGAAGAATTTGGACAAGGTAGTCTCAGAGGCAGCTCTGAAAATGCTTGAGGACCATGACTTAGTTCTAGGCTTTCTCTAGCTCGGTGCTTTCTCGGAGTGATTTCTACTAGAAGCTGTGTGCCTGGGCCATTCCTTCAGGCTGATGGAGGCTGGGAGTGGGCTGGCAGAAGGGAGCCAAGATTCTGGAGGAGGAAGAGACAGAGGAGGTAGTGGGCCAGGCTCCCGCACACACTTACAGCTCGTCATCATACTCCTTCGGGGGACAGACAGCAACAACAAGGTCGATCCAGTCCTGTGGGGAGAAGGTATGTGACTCTAGGGCATGCTCAGGGATTGATGGCATGCCTGCCCCTGACACTCCATTCCCATTCCTGGGCACCATGGCCCAGGATCAGCTGGCTCGGACCTTCTTCCCATGGGAAGGTGGGCCCAGTTGGGGCTGGAGGACCTCCTGGTGGGATGGGTCTCACTTTGTGGCCCCATGGTCTGGGGAAGCTTCCCGTCTCTGAGGCTTCAAACCACAGAGCCAGGGTTGCCAGGCCCTTATATGACACCAAGTTCCCAAATGCTGACCTGTGGACCAGGGCCAGGCAGCAACCTTGGGGTCATGGGGGAATTTCTTAAAACTCTAGATTCTTGGACTTGACCCCTGGAAATCTAGGGTAGGTCCTGGGAAACAGTATTTTTAACAAGGTCCCTGAGTTATTCTGAGGTACAGCCAATTAGGGAATTGCAGGCCTAGATTTCTGATCCTAACACATGCACCCCTCAATAGATCACTGCCATCCTTGGCTTATCCATCATTGTCCACCCTTGATTTGGGCGTATTCAATAAAAGGTATGTGAACTACCACTGGGTCCCTCTACCATGCAATAGCTCCTAATATGGAACTGAAATCTCTTCCCAGGACCTCCCTCCATCCAATCCAGTTCTGTCCTCAAGAACCACAGAAAGCACTTCTGCTCCCTCTACCCTAAGGCAGCCCTTCAGATAATCAAAGACAGTCATCATGTTACCCGTAAGTCTTCTCTTCTCCACATCCCTTCATGTGGGTCCCAGTCCCATCTGGTCAGCTTCCTCGGCTCTGAACTTAATACCCCAGGCTCGGCTGCCTGCATACAGTTGCACAGGTTGTGCATTGCACAACATGAGCGGGCGCCATTCACACTGTAGTCGGTAGGAGGGCACCCCTCGAGTTGTGCAGTGCACAGCCTGGGAGATCTTATGTGGTGGCCCTGACCCAGGTGTCTAATGACCACAGAGCAGGCTACCCTCAGCCCCTCCTCCATTCTGGGCCCTCTGCTTCTGTGAATGCTTTCTAGTAGCCCCAAGGCATTCTCTTGATTCCTGGTCAGTGCGCACTTACAGAAGACCTTAAGTTTTCTTCTTGGGTGGGTTGCCACACCTGGTCTTCTGGAGTCTGTATCTGTGCTACTTGCTTTTGGATTCAAAATCAGGAACTGACATTTATTTTTCTGAATCCCACATTGTCAGACTGAGACTTTCGGCTGGATGGGGTATGTGGGCATCACCCAAGTGTTGCCTGGATCCTGAATACCCACCCTGGGATGAGGAACCCCGGCTCTAAGGCCTGGTTGCAGAGGCCAGGGTTTGAGGCAAGCAGGCAAGGGAGGGAGGCAGGGAGGAGGTTCGCTCTTACCCCCTGATTCCAGGCCTTCTGCAGGGCAGCCTCAGCCTCAGCCAGGGTGTAGTCCGTCACGATTTTGCCATTGATTGCCATGACCTCGTCTCCTTTCACAAGACCGCCTGCGGGAAGATGAGGCTGATTGGCAGCTGGGCTGTATGCGACATGTGCCTGGCCCAGGGCTTGGCTAAGGGGGTCACCGTGGACCTGCAGAAGGAGCTTGACTCCTGGATTCTGAAAGCTTACATGGGCTCCGGAAGCACGAGGGGAAACAATCCACCAGGTTGCTCAAAGGCACTTCCTTCCCACACCGTCCGCACGCCCTCACCCCCGCTCCACTCAGTAGACAGGGACACCAGTGATAATCTTTGTCACCCAGCTTTACTACGGGCCTCTGCTCTTTCAGAGGGAGGCAGGCCTGCATTCCCAGGGAGGTTACTAGAAACATGAGCTAGTTCTGCAAGCCATCCCTCTCTGTGCTCCAGCCCTGCTGGTCTGCTTCAGGGCCCTGAGCTGGCCAAGCTCTTTCCTGCCTCACCTGCTGTTCCACCTGAAATACTGTTCCCTCTCTTTTTCATCTAGTCTACATCTGAGATGAAATGTCTTCTCCTCAAAGAGGTCTTCCCTGACCCCCACTCACTCTAAGGTAGATCTCTCTTTTTATTCTCTCACTGTATCCTGGTCCTTTCCTGCAGAGCGTAGTTCACAATTTGTAATCATTGATCTATTTGTTGACAGACGGTCTCTTCCCAGCAGCCCCCTTTCCCTTGGTGGCTTAGGGGCCCCTCAGAGTTCCCACAGCTTCCCTCCACCCCCATAGTCCTTTGTCAGCCCTTGGCAGACTGCACTGTTATTTTCAGTACCTGGCGATTCTGAGCACATTTTCACCACTAGATGGGGAGCCCCTGGAGGGCAGGGTATATCTGATTTGGCTGTGTACCCACAGGCCCTGGCACCACTGTATGCCCACAGGCAACATGTGGTACTGGGTGGACAGATGAACAGGAAGGGGCATTCTTGAGCAACTGCCAACCACTCCGAGCGGGCAGCTGTTGGCTTTCCTGCAGAGTCCTGTA